TATAACACTGTTTTATTGTGTGCGTGTGGTATATCTAATAAATAACTATGGAATTAAATAATACCACAGTGCCTAGGTTTTACACATATTTATTAAAAGGACGTGAATTTCACATGAAATTTTTAAGGTTATCATTGTATGAATACTTTCTTATGTATAGAGCTCTTTTTCTCATCATCAGGTTCCGATCTTTTATTGACTACAGTCATGTGTTGTCTACTGAATAAATGATTCACGATGTCTCTATTTTTAAAAACAGTTTATATATATGGCAAACTGGTAAGTATTCACAATAAGGAAAATATAGGGAAAACTTCGTAGGCTGGAAAAGTATGCTGTTAACGTTCTTATTACGTCATAATTTTGGTAATCAAATTTTCCCCAAATCTCGTTTCTTTTTACTACAATAAACCGGTTCACTGTGTTGATAATTCATGCCAGAAACATGATTTATATTACAACCTTCAAAAAATGGTAAGATGCTCCCACCCACACACACACACACTCACACACAACATACACTCAGACACTTACAAAGTTATTTTCCCCTTAAACTAGTCACGCGTTTCTATGACCTAAGCTGTCATTGAATGTGAATATACGCACTTAATCATTATTATAGAAATTATTTTGTATTTCTCATTGAGTGAATTAAAAAGAAAACGATATTGTTGTTGTTTTTACTGACGTTTCGCTATCTAGTGCTGTTGTTAATAACTTCATCAAACTGATATTATTCAACTAGAATTTACAAATTCTCAGTTTATATTTAACATTTTCTATAGTTTGGTTTGCAATGGTTAATTTTGTTTTTTTTACGAGTTGATCACGGACTGATATCAGTTATAGAACCATGGGAAACCAGGGAGTACTGGACATCTGCTGTTTCATCCTAGTTTGGGAATCATCAGCATTACGCATCCACCACCAGGGGTTGGAACCCAGGACCTTCGGGTTACAAGGCAAGATTGTATGCCAATCAGCCACTGAAAACCGATTCGACGCCTCATGAATTCTAACTTCTACCAATTCATGATTTAGCGCGACCCAAACCATCAATTCTCACACGTGACATCTGATTGGACCTCACTGGTCACGACTTTTCGCTAGAACTCCAGGAAACCCCATCCTGTAGCAAGTCACTATTGAGCATCAGAATAATGTCCTATAGTTTGGTTTGTAAGGGTTAACAACTTAATCATTGTTCCTCAGCATTGGGTCATTTTACCGTTGTCAAGTTGTGGCCAATTGGTAAAAATAACAAAAGCAGGTGTAGATTGTGGGATTTGATAAGTGTATAAGATTACAAAAGCAGGCTGTGTTTACATAGTGTTTTGCCTATAACATTCGTGTTTCTTTTACTTAATCTGACGTGGGTTTTAGTCCATCATTCCAATTCAGACAATCTGCATCCCATTTCTCGACAAGTTATGCATTGATCAAATAGCCACACTATGGATCATCATTGAACAAAGCTTGAAATGGCAGTCAGCTCTCTGCATCACTAAAATTTCATCAACTTTGAAAGGGCCTTCGATAACGCAGCGTCGATCAAGGGGTGATTTGGAAACTACTTTGCTACTACATGGTGGGGCCGACAATCATACATCTCATCCAACAGTTGTACGACAGTGCTGCATACCAAGTAATCCACAAACGGGAAACTAACGGAATCCTTCGAAGAAGTGAAGACGAGAGTAAGACAAGGCTGGCTGTTGGGCTGCCTACTATCGCCAATGATTTTCCTGATTGCAGTAGACTAGATATTTGAACGGACAAACAGCTACGGGCAGCGAAGAAACAGGTATAAAATGGACCCACGCTATACACATGGAGGATCTAGAATAAGCCGATGATATACGTCTGATTTCCAACAAATTGGAAGATATGCAAGTAAAAAGCTATAAGTTGGCAATAGAAGAAGCATCAAATATAGGAATTCCTTCGGGTGAACATAGAGAAAACAGAGGTGATGAAAATCTTGACCAACGCCAAGCGCAACTGACGAGGATATCAAAGCGAGGATTGGGAAAGCAAGGCAAGTTTTCTTTACTCTCAAGTATGTGTGGAGGTCAACACTCAGCACCCACCATGAAAAATAACATCCGGATTTTCAACTTCAATGTGAAGTCAGTCAGTGCTACTTACTACACGGATCAGAGAATTGACCAGCGCGTCATGAAGAGCACCTCAAACAAACTCCAGACCTTCATCAACATCTGTTTTTGCTCAATACGCAGCTCAAGATGAGATGGCCGGCCAGAGAAGATCACCAACAGGGAGGGATCTCTGGCAATGAGCGAACCAACCCAGCACGAACCGATTGTGCAACAAATAAGCAGGAAGAAATGGGGATGAATTGACTGGCCATACTCTGAGAAAACCATCAACTGACATCACTAGACAACCCCTTGAGTGGAACCCGTAAAGGAAGCTGTGAGTCGACCGTCATTGCGAGGGTGGTTCGGAGGAGGTCATGTGAAGAGGAGATGAAAGCATATGGGCAATGCTGGGGCCAGGTAAAAACTCTAGCAGAGAACCGAACGTAATTGAGACGTTTGGCTGAAGTCCTATGTTCCTCTAGGAATTAAAGGAAATAATAATAATAATGTAATAATAATCGATGTAATGAAAATGAAGTTACTAAGGGAGTCAGAGATTGATTACAGTCTCTTTCTGTATGTGTAAGCTTGGTTTGAAAGGTTTGATTGCAACTGCTTCTGGAAATCATAATAAATTTGCTATCGTTTATATGTTTAATACTTTGAATGATTTGGAAATTTCAACGAATCCACGGTATGTCTAGTAATTGCTCTTTACGAATGTCTACTTCCATTTAGACTTACGTTTCTTGGGATTACCTAAACTATCAAAGTTGCCACTCTCTTTCTATGCAGCACACAAAGCAGGATAGCGATTGGAACGTTCGCTCCCACCCCAAAAGTATGATGGAGGTATGCAGATGACACATTCGTCGTACTTAGAACACAGCATATAGATAGGTTTTTCGAACACATTAACTCAAAGGAGGGGGGCAATTCAATTCACTCATGAATTGGAAAGTCAAGAAGGGCAACTGTCAATGTTAGATTGCAGCGTAAAAGGGAAAGAAGATGGGAAGTTAAACACTAGTATTTGCCGGAAACCCACACATTCAAAGAGATATTTGGACTTCCGATTATCTGTATAACATGCTTGTCATAATCATTCGTAAATCAACTTTTTGAATAGTCTTAATCATGATCCTATTTTTTCTTAATTTTTTGCGTTACAAGTAGAAAAAAAGACTTTAAGCTTTGTGGTTTTAGTAGTGGTTAGGAGTGTTGTGGTCGTCAGGTTCACGTCCAAACTATCCTCTTTTCCCAATTGATTACCGTCTAGGTGATGTTTAGGAGTGAGTAGGTAGGGAATTGTTCCTTGGACAGCACACCTCGTGACAGAATATTCTACCACTGAACCACCAATGCACTCAGGAAAACTGGTATTACTTCAAAAATTATTTGTGAACACAGTATTCCATAATGGTGGAAGTCAAAAAAAGCATTTAAGTGTTGTCAAAGCCTAGATTCGAAGTCTTTATTCACACATCTAACTTATATGTGTAACAGCCACATTGTCAGACAGTAGATAGTCCGGATACCTCAAATGCAAGTGTGCTACAATGATTTCAATTTTACCCCCATCTAGTCTTGCATTTCAATATTAATCTTCGAAAATCAAAATATTCTAGATAAATCTAAAGATCACTAGTGACTAGCCCTATTCGGGCAGTTACCTGGCATTCTAGTGGGAAGCCGTTACCAGTAGGGTACAGCAGGTTGAAGGTGAGCACAGTTGCTCATCGTAGAAGATATTGCTAAGTGTTGGCGCTATATCATGAATTAGCAGAGGTTAGAATTCATGATTCTGAACAAAGAAAGAAGAAGCATTGGCCCAGAATAATCTAGATCCATGTTATTTCGTCGGTTCTCATCACCAGCTACGTACAACCTGAATTCTTTTATAAAATAAAAACGTGTACAATTTTAACAAACTTTATTTCATTGTCAGGGCGTCATAGTGAAATAAGGGGTTGCGATTTACAAGTCGTCTAAAGGGTTACGACATATATATGCATCTTGTTAGAGAGAAGTTTCTTGAAAAAAATTAATTAATAGTTGTGTTGTTGGGGTGGTAACAGAAGAAAATTAGTAATAGCTACGTAATTATATAAGAGAAGATCAAAATTTCAGTGCACATGAGGTCAGAAGAGAAGTTGATGATGTGATAAAGTTAGCAGAACTCGGAAGATCAGGAAAAATTATCTCTTAAGAGAGTCAAGCGAAAAATAAATGGGAAGAGTGAAAAGAGAAGTTAACAAAATTAGAAAACAAAGAGTTACTATGAAGTGAGTTACCAGGGTAATTGAAATCCAACAACGGATTCTTTTTGGACACATAAGTTAGGCTTTAATCGTTTTATTGCTAAAGCTTCGGCAAACATGAGGAAACTTGAAGTGCTTTGTCTGTTAATTAATTTGAATGATTTCAGCACATCTACTAGGTGTCCTGTATCAATCAGGTGTTTGGAGATTGAAGAGCTTAAACAATTCGGTCCCTTTACCCAGGGGCTCCTTGCTACATGTTCGCAGATTCTGACGTAGACCCTTCTCTCTGTTCTTCCAATGTAACTGCTCCCACAGATACATGTGAACTAGTATACACAGTTGGAGGTAACATGTGAGAGGCATTTCTCACCAGTCCCGAACTAGGACGAAACAGCTATTCAATACTCCTTGCAGGTTTTCCAATGGTTCTCTAACCGATTTCAGCTCATGATGAAATCCTCCAACTATTCTAGAGAGTCACATTGGTTTTTTTATAATTTCTGTTTTCTTAACGATCATCATTTATACTTATTCAACACGTATCTCATGTTTCACTGAATTATTGTTTTAAGGGTTCAAGTGAAAGTTATTGAATTTCTTAGCTTATTTTCTCTCTCCTTTTCTTTCTCTTCAGAAGTCGTCAAAAACGAAGAAAGACAGTAAGATGATTGAATGCATCAACGAAGATTATGTTAGCCTGGTGGAATATAATGAAGTGAAATCTTCATTACAAGTCAGTTATATTCTACCAAGTCATTATATACGTAATTTTTTAGTTTCCACAAAGAATACGTTAATTTAATTTTTGATTTACAGCTTGATTCCACACTGTATTTTTGGTACAAGTATGGAATTTTCAGCATGGATATCGGTAGCCCAAATTTTGCAGGCCGACCATAGATATCAAGTGGGCATCGGTAGTAGATCGAACCTCGGATCATGTGCATGGTTGGTGAGAGTGCTTAACCACTGTGCCACCGACGCACAGTTAGTGGTTAACATGAATTGCATAGTCGTTCTTTTAATGTTGTTGATCAGGTAGCTCTCTTGGTGATTCACTGGGGATACATATCCCATGTGGAATGACACTTCAGAGCTGTTACACTCTAGAAGTAGTAACATTTGTTCGCATAACAGTAGTTATCATGGTTTCATGAGTTAGTTTTGCTATAATACAGAGATATGTTGTTTTTTATTCTTGCTGCGGAGACTACTTATTGTCTTTAAACTTTAAATGGCTGTAATGGTATTCGTAAAATTATGTCATTTCTGGCGTAGACTTGATTTACCGCTGTCAATGAGAAAATACATATGTATAGCACACCAATTGGCACTGTCTGTATTTACCGCTGTGGAATATGCCCACGGAAAGTGGAAGACTTAAACAGTCTTGCTGTCCTCGACTATTTGTGCTTTGAATATAAGAATTTGCTTTATTCCCAAACAGTACTTCTCTACAGTATTGGATCCAGTTTGTACATTATCAATAAATAAAATTCTACATAGATTATGGGTAATCTCATTTAGTTATGACAACAGCATATTGGCATGTCGGTAGCAAGCCAAAAGTGAACAGAATATTTGAAGGGGTTAGAAAAGTAGATACTACTAGCATATTTACTGGCGTAAGCGATAGCAAAATGGTCGAGGTATACAGAGTGTGAGAGAACGAAGAAGAATGTTTCAAGTAGAGTTTGTAAGGAAGAGAGAAACAAACCAGTATATAGCAAAAAAAACAAGGAAACAAAAAGCAAAGAAAAAAAGAGAAAAGGAAAAGAAAGAAAGAAAACGTTGTACCTATAAATGATACGACTTGGAGATCCATTTATTCTACTGACTATTTTTTTTTTGTATCTTTTGAAGATTTGGCCAATTTGCCTGGGACCCGACCATGCGCGTGGTCGGCGAGAGTCCTAACCACTGTGTCACCGACGCACCGACTATTAAATAAGTTATAAGTTTCACGCCTAATGCTTTCTTCATCGCACAGAACACGAACGAGCGATGTAGGGTATGGTTGAGTTTTTGTACTTTCTAGTGCGAGCATATAGTTTTCTATGTAGGCTTCTGGTCGTGCCTGATGAGATAGATACAAGGGGAGAGTTGTGAATGAAGACGGTGCTGTAAGATAGAATGGATTTAGCCCATTTTTCACATGAGTCCAAGTGCCTGTCTACCAAAATATTAACAAGCTAGTTAAGTGGCACCCTGTGGCTCACCCTGCTGACAACCTTAATTACCTTACGTAATAAGGTATAGTCTTTCTTCAGTAACTCTGAAAAACTAAGTGGGAACAATAGAGAATAATATGCAGGATACAATAGTTAACGAATCGTAGGAGAAAAGGTTGGGTTATACCAGAATGTCTTAACTTCTTGATGTAGAAGGTGAGACGGAATATTTTCTTAGAAATCGTCAAGATATGAGACGACCAGGAAAGATCAGCAGATAGAATGACGCCAAGATATTTAACTTCCCACTTGGTTTCAATTTCAGTGCCATCTATGTTGCACATCTCGTGAGTCCTAACCAGTTTGTTTAGGTCAGATTTATGCCTGAGGGAGAAATTGACTGTTTGACATTTAGAGGGATTTAGGGTGAGGCCATTTTCCTTGGACCATTGGCTGATTTCTGATAAAAAGCCATTTAGTTTGAAGCAGCCACTTTGACACTTGACAGGTAAAGATACAGTCAGGTCGTCAGCATATTTAACAAAATTAATGTCATTTGAAGATGGTAAGTCATGTAGAAAGAAAGAAAAGAGAAGTGGAGAGAGTACAGCACTTTGGAGGACACCAGCTTCAGTGTGTACAGCAGAGGAAGACTTACCTTTGTATACGGTGTACTGCATTCTGTTAGAGAAGTAGAACTGCAACCATTTTATGACCCAGGACTCCGTTTGTGTCATAAAGAGCTTATTTAGCAAGTGACATCTAGGTACAGAGTCGAAAGCAGAAGTGAAGTCAAGAAACGTGTAACGAACGTATTTGGCACCTTTATCTAGTGATGAGACGATACTGCTGTGTAAGATAGCTGCAGCATCTAAAGTGCTCCAACCCTGTCTATATGCAAATTGCTCGGGGTCTTCGAATCTTTTACGGATGGGTTCAAGTTTAAGAAGTACTAGTTTTTCCATAAGCTTTAGAAACGAGGAAGTAATGGCGATGGGTTTGGAATTTTACATTCTTGCTATTTCCAGGTTTAGGGACAGGGACTATTTTAATGTCTTTCCATGGAACAGGTACAAAGTTTTCGGCGAAAGAAGCATTTAGGATGTTAGTTAGTGGAGGACATAAGGCATATGCACACTGTTTTAGAACATAAGCGACTATCTTGATATGGAGGTCAAGCTTGAAAATCACAATGATATCAGTATATGATGTGGTTGTGGTGCTACATCGATTAAAATGGTTAGAGTTGCATGTTAAACATAACGAGACATTGTCTTCCTAGACAAGCAATTTTAGCTGACATAAAATTAAATTATTATTATTATTATTGTATCCTTTAGTTCCTAGAGAAACATAGGGCTTCAGCTGCGCACCTCCATTGCCTTCGGTTTTCTGCAAACTTTTTCACCCTGCTCCAGGTCTGTCCACATGCTTTCATCTCCTCCTCGCATGACCTCCTCCAAGTCACCCTTGGACGACCAACTCGCCGCCTCCCTTTCGGGTTCCACTCGAAGGCTTGTCTAGTGATGTCACTTGATGGTTTCCTCAGCGTATGGCCAATCCATCTCCATTTCTTTCTGCCTATTTGTTTCACAATCGGTTCCTGATTGGTTCGCTCCCAGAGATCCCTGTTGCTGATCTTTTCTGGCCATCTGATCTTGAGTATTGAGCGGAGACAGCTGTTAATGAAGGTCTGAAGTTTGTTTGACGTGCTCTTTATGACTCACCAAGTCTCTGATCCGTATAGTAGCACTGACTTCACATTGGAGTTGAAAATCCGGATCTTATTTTTGATGCTGAGTGCTGTTGACCTCCACACAGATTTGAGAGTAATGAGAACTTGTCTTGCTTTTCCGATTCTGGCTTTGATTTCCTCATCAGTTCCGCCTGTAGTTGAGACGATGCTTCCCAGGTAGGTGAAGGAGGTTGTTTCTTTCAGGTTCTTCCCACTTATGCTGATTGTTGTCTGTTGTTGTTGCTGCTGTTGATGTTGTCTAGGAATCTTCATCATCTCTGTTTTATCTATGTTCACGTGAAGTCCTATCTTTGATGCTTCTTCTGCCAACTTATTACTTTTCACTTGCATATCTTCCAGTTTGTGGGAAATCAGACATATATCATCGGCGAAATCCAGATCCTCCAAGTCTTTTTTCTGAGTCCATTTTATGCCTGTTTCCTCGTTGGTTGCCGTTGTCTGTCGCATTATCCAGTCAATTGCAATCAGGAAGATCATTGGTGATAGTAGACAGCCTTGCCTCACTCCCGTCCTCACTTCGAAGGCCTCCGTAAGTTTCCCGTTGTGGATTACTTGGCATGCAGCATTGTCGTATAACTGTTGGATGAGATGTATAATTGTTGATGGGACCCCGTAGTAGCGAAGTAGTTTCCAAATGACCTCTCGATCGACGCTATCGAAGGCCTTTTCAAAGTCGATGAAGTTGAGATAGAGAGGTGACTGCCATTCCAAGCTTTGTTCAATGATGATCCGTAGAGTGGCGATTTGATCAATGCATGATTTGTTTCTCCTGAATCATGTCAACCTGAGACCGAGCACTTCGGTCCAATCAATCGACGCGAAAATCGAAAATTCAATTAATAATAATATGACCCGTTGCACAAGAGGTGGCTCTCGTGGCCCAAGTGGTCTAGTGGATAAGGCTTTGACGTTTGAAACTATGGATACTGGGTTCGAGCCTCGGTGGGAACGTCATCACTCACTGAGAAATGCAGGTACATCCAGCTGACGAGTCCCAAATAGGACGAACTGCGCATCCTGGATTCCACTGCTAGTCACCATCCACCAATTATTTGAAAATAGATCCAGAGACAACAGCGGACTTGATGACACCACTGCTGGAGAAGGTGTGGAAAGAGGACAAAGTACCCGAGGATTGGAAGAACGGATACTTATTCAAACTTCCAAAGAAAGGAGACTTAAGTCAATGTAAAAACTGGCGTGGAATTATGCTTCTGTCCATTCCAAGCAAGATACTAAGTCGCATCATCCTGGAGAGAATCAAACAAGCCCTAGATGAAAAACTTCGTCCGGAACAGGCCGGATTCAGGAGAAACAAATCATGCATTGATCAAATCGCCACTCTACGGATCATCATTGAACAAAGCTTGGAATGGCAGTCACCTCTCTATCTCAACTTCATCGACTTTGAAAAGGCCTTCGATAGCGTCGATCGAGAGGTCATTTGGAAACTACTTCGCTACTACGGGGTCCCATCAACAATTATACATCTCATCCAACAGTTATACGACAATGCTGCATGCCAAGTAATCCACAACGGGAAACTTACGGAGGCCTTCGAAGTGAGGACGGGAGTGAGGCAAGGCTGTCTACTATTAATTGGTGGATGGTGACTAGCAGTGGAATCCAGGATGCGCAGTTCGTCCTATTTGGGACTCGTCAGCTGGATGTACCTGCATTTCTCAGTGAGTGATGACGTTCCCACCGAGGCTCGAACCAGTATCCATAGTTTCAAACGTCAAAGCCTTATCCACTAGACCACTTGGGCCACGAGAGCCACCTCTTGTGCAACGGGTCATATTATTATTAATTGAATTTTCGATTTTCGCGTCGATTGATTGGACCGAAGTGCTCGGTCTCAGGTTGACATGTCGGCTTCTTGTGCAGATGCTTGAATAAAAGTTACAGTTAGTTATATCAATTACGGGATTCAGTATACGAAGTCTTTGATAGATGGTTAAAGCCAGACACGTGGGGAGTTGTAGACCCTTCGGTTGGTTGGCGTCTTTGGGGTGCTAAAAACCATTGGTTAGAGACAAGTGCTAATATGTGATACATATATCCAAACCAAGTTACGTTTTAACAGTTTAAAAAAATTGGGCAATGGGTATATTATATCCATTATAATAAAGGTTTTTGTGTACTTTCCACTGAATGGACAACAAAGTGGAATGTGATACGATATAAACCAAACAAACATCGTGAGAAATCAAGGAAATCAGAAGAAATGAACACCACAGTGCCGCCTCTGTTCGACCATCAAGAAATCCAGCCGAGCTACAAAAGCTTGAAAAATTATCAGCTATAGGTCGTCTACATGCTGCGTTGTAGAATCACGTCATAAAATTGATTTTGACAATATTGTAATCATCATTCAGAACAATTTCAGAAATCAAAAAGAACGTCTAATATCATGAGAAGCAGGTGCTTGATGGTGATTGCCTCGGTACAATTAAGGAGAATAGAATTCTTTTGCCTATTGCTAATTTTCAGTGGTCTTGAGATGTACACCTCATGGCCTGTGTCAAGGGATGCCTGGCAATGGAACTGTTTAAAGCATTTGTTCTCTGTTTAGTAGGTTTGTCGTCAACATGCGTCTCCAAGTTGACCTGAAAACTTTTATAAATAGCCGCCCTCACTGGTTCAAAACTGAAGGTTAGATGCCGGACCGATCATCAAGAAAAATTAGCATACAATAAGGAAATCTAAAAGCGAACTAACTAACCACCTGTCACTCAGTAAGTATGCACGCAGAAATAGGCATGAACTGAGAACACTACCGAATGACGTCACACGCTACTCAAGCCAATGAGTAGAATCAGAATAGGAGGCGATGAGTTATATGCGGGTCAGAGAGTGAGGTGCAGGGGTTCATGTGAAAACAAGAAGAAATTTTATCGACAATCGTGCAGCCAGATGAAAAATAACCACAGAGAACAGAGTGGCATAGTTATGTGTCACTGAATCTCTTTGTTATACTTGGAACCTAAAGGACAGTTATAATAATATTATTGTTTCCTTTAATTCCTAGAGGAACATAAGGCTTCAGCAAAACGTCTCCATTGCGTTCGGTTCTCTGCCAACGTTTCCACTTGGTTCCAAGTCTGGCCACATGCTTTCATCTCCCCTTCATATGACCTCCTCCATGTCACCCACACATTGACGACCAACTCACCGCTTCCCTTTCGACCGGGTTCCACTCGAGCAATGGCTTGTCTAGTGATGTCACATGATGGTTTCCTCAGCGTATGGCCAGTCAATTCATCTCCATTTCTTCCTGCTTATTTGTTTCACAATCGGTTCCTGGTTGGTTCGTTCACTGCCAGTGATCCCTGTTGCTGATCTTTTCTGGGTGGCCATCTGATCTTGAGTATTGAGCGAAGACAGCTGTTAATGAAGGTCTGAAGTTTGTCTGAGATGCTCTTTATGACGCACCAAGTCTCTGATCCGTATAGTGAGTAGCACTGACTGACTTCACATTGGAGTTGAAAATCCGGATTTTATTTTTGATGGTGAGTGTTATTGACCTCCACACAGACTTCAGAGTAATGAAGGCTTGTCTTGCTTTTCCGATTCTTGCTTTGATATCCTCGTCAGTTTTAGTTCGCCTGTAGCTGAAACGATGCTTCCCAGGTAGGTGAAGAAGGTTGTTTCTTTCAGGTTCCTCCCATGTATACTGGCTGATTGTTGTCTGTTGTTGTTGCTGTTGCTCTTGATGTTGGCCAGGAATCTTCATCACCTCTGTTTTCTCTTTTTGTTCACCTGAAGTGATCTCCTGTCTTTGATGCTTTTTCTATCTCTAACTTGTTGCTTTTCACTTGCATATCTTCCAGTTTGTGAGAAATCAGACATACATATGTTATCGGTGAAGTCTAGATCCTCCAAACTTTTTGTGTGAGTCCATTTTATGCCTGTCTCCTCATTGCCCGTTGTCTGTCGCATTATCCAGTATACTACAATCGGGAAAATAATTGGCGATAGTAGGCAGCTGGCCAGCCAGCTTATCTTACTCCCGTCTTCACTTCGAACGATCCCGTTGTGGATAACTTGGCATGCAGTATTGTTGTATAACTGTTGATTGAGATGTATAATTGTCGGTGAAACCCCGTTGTACCGATGTAGTTGCCAAATCACCTCTCGATCGACGCTGTCGAAGCCATTTTCAAATTCGATGAAGTTGAGATAGAGAGGTGACTTCAATTTCAAGCTTTGTTCAATGATGATTCGTAGAGTGGTGATTTGATCAATACATGACTTGTTTCTCCTGAATCCAGCTTGTTCTGGTCTAAGAGGGGACACTTATGTATATACTACATGGATAACACTATGTAGACATTCTACAGTTGGACACAGTGTCTTTTCTAAGCGTAAAGTACTTTAAAGTTATCATGATGACCACACAAAATTATTTTATCTTCCTCTAATATCCTTCGTTTATATTAGCAATGATGATATCAGTAGTAATAGTAAAACACCGGTTTGATTTCTAATCACTTATCTTACAGACACGTATTAAAGAATTGGAGAGTGCATTAGAGGCCTATGAATCACTCAAATCCGAGTCAACATGCGAAGTATCTACAAACACTGACTTCACAACGTTGAACGATAAGAAAGTGAACGATTCATACGTCAAAGCTCTTGAGGTAACTCTATTTTTTTTAGTTCATAACACATTTTCACTTACTGATATTTAGGGATTTTAATAGATTACAACGGTAAGTATCACTGTGGACCGACATCAGCTAGAAGACCGTTTGGTAACTAGAGAATACAGGACAGCTACTTCGTGTATGTTTAGGACTCCGCAGCATTACATACCCGGGATTCCGTTAGCGATTGAACTTTGGACTTTCATGTTATGAGGTGAACGAACACATTACCACCCATGTGTATACTGATTGGTTCAAGTACTGTCTTTATGAGAATTACTTTTTATGCCAATATTTGGTCTTCTCGTTTCGAACTTGGGCTATCGAGAACTTTCATCGATAAAGTGCTTATAGTGTTTGTCATTCAGTTTGTTTAAATCTTAGAAAATATGACCTCTAATGGTGTATTAAGAACACAATATTCAACGAAGAGACCCTTTTCAACAACGAATTTATTATCAAGCTGTGCAATCGTTTACATATGGTTTTATACAGAAATTATATTCGGTGGGGAAATTAAGTCAAAGGTGTGAATACATGAAATAATAATAATAGTCGTGTGAAATGCAATTAAAATATTTGTGATTATAACTATAGTTTAATGTCAAGTGGCAGAATAATTAATGTCATATATAGAATAATACATAAGGTGTATAGATTTTGGAAAGGGGTACATAATTATAAGATTAGTAGACGAATATAAAATGTTACATAACATGGTGTGAAATTTGATAAGATAGAATTCAATATTGTAAAAATAAAAAAGATAAAAATCAATAATTTCGGGTTTAAAATGACAAGTAGGACAAGTGGAAAAGATTCAGAGTGAGAATAGTAATAATAATAATCGTAGTAATAAAGGAAGGGTATATAGAATAACTAAATAAACAAAATAAATAAATGTCTATCCCTCTACGGCCAAGGCAGAAATGGGGATTGTACATACTTCTTTTGTACGCAAAAGTCTGGCTTTAAGTCAAGAATGAATAGCCAAGGCCTCAGCTAGATGTGCCTTCATTTCTCAGTGAGTGATGATGTTCCCACCGAGGCTAGTCACCACCCACAAATTAAACACTAAATGCCCGGACATCGTCAAAGCATCTGTACAAGAAGCTGACATGTCAACCTGAGACTGAGCACTTCGGTCCAATCAATTGGCGGGAAAATCAAAAATTTAATTAAACTGCTGACTGTAAGTTTTCGCTAAGCGTTTAAGAAAGCTTTATCCTGAATGGCAGCTTATCCCAGTAGATGAGATGACAATTACTTAGTGGTCTCCTGTTCTCATCAAAATATAATCCTGAACTTTTTATAACTGACATACAATGCCGCGCATGTACGACTTACCGAAAGTGTGAAAACAAGACATCACAGTCCGCTCAGTACTAGACATGATAGATTCCCCATATCAGTCATTCGCGAAATAACTGATGGAGATTCTCGGGCTGGTGAAGGAAAAGCTGTCAAGACACAACCTCCCTGACACATTCGACTTTGTTGATTCAATTAAGAATGCCAGTGTGGCAGACAAGAGAATGGTCTCCTTGGATATCGTCTCTCTCTCTTCGTCAACGTTCAATTGGCAGAAACCGTATGTTTCCTTTGTGACTACATTCAATCCAATAGCATCGATGTCAGTATATCGATCCATTATCTGTATCTGTCTTATATTTCTGGCAATCGTCAACTTTAAACCTCAACAGGGTAGTTAACACAGCTTTCATCTCTGAGATGTGGTCATCTTTGTCCGTCAGTACAACTCCTAATCATTTGTCAGGTATGATGATTTCGAGACGACTATTTTTTTAAAAGCTCTCAGTGCTCTTTGAAGCTTCTAAGAAAAGATTTTGGAATATGGCGTTGGTGAAATGAGGTACTGGTTTTCAACATCGACCGGCTTAGACTTTGAACCAGGTTTTCTTGTTTTCATCAACTGGATGAATGTCATTCAACTGACGGTATAAGTTTTCGAACTGAGCTGCTACATATCGGTTCTTTTGACAAAGTTATTCGGGATATGGAAGTTAAATTCGAGGGAAAGCGCTTCCATTTCAATGCGGTTTAAACTCAAAGTCGACAGATTACAAACAAACTCCTGAGGATGTTCTGCGAAGACGTTATACACTTTTATTTTTGTCAAGGATTCCGGGAGCGTTTTACAAAAATTTGAACATGTTTTCTGTTGAAGCTCTTGAATGAAATTTGATGAATTTGATATTGCATACAATATCCAAACCGTTGATGACACCATTGAATGATCGACCTTCGGTTCGCAATTTTGAAATTCGAAATTCTGTTGAATCCAAATGAGATTTTTAACACATCAGTGATGAGAAGTCAACAAATTGTACCATATTATTATTCTGCAAAATTCTTGAGGAATAAATATATGGTTCATTTGTATTCAAGTGCTGGTTTGTAGGTATTTGATTGGTTACAGGATTTCATCATGCGGTGACATTAATTAGAGAACCATTGGAAAACCTGGGAGTACTCTACAGCCTTTTCGTCCTAGTTTTGGGCTCTTCAACAGTACGCACTCACCGGGATTCCAACCCAGGACCTTCTGGTTACAAGGCGAGCACGTATACCATCACGCCACTAGGATTCGATCCAATGGCGCATGAATTCTAACTTCAATGAGATCATCACTAGCGACTTGCCCTATTCAGGTTCTAGTGAGACGTCGTGACCAGTAGGGTGCAGCAGGTTGGGTGTGAGGACAAATACTTGCCGAAGACATTGACTAGGGGTTACGCTGTGTTATGGGCCATTGGATCGAGTCCAATGGCTTAATAGTATACGAGCTGGATGGCCTTGTAACCAAAGGGTCCTGGGTTCGAACAGTCGCGGTGGGTGCGTACTGACGAGCATTCCCAAACTAGACTGACGAAACGCCTCTCCAGTACTCTCTACTTGGTTTTCCAATGGTTCTCTAACTAATGACAGCTCATAATGGAATCAATGGTTCATTTGTGCTGGCATACACGACAAGAAAGAAGGGGAGTACTTTCATCATCCTTTGTCATCTCTAAGAGGGAGGGGGCTGCTTATATTGACTGATTCATTCAGCATGACATCACAACCACTTTTATTGATCTATCAGTTTTTTTAAATTTCTAGATGCAAATTAAGCGGCAAATGGATACTATCGTCGCTAAACAAAATGAGTTGAATCGGTTGAAGCAACGGTTAACACCTCAAAGCAGATACCCCGTCAGTAGTGACAATTATTACTATACAAATACTGGACTTTTGTCTGCATTAAAAAGGATGAAGGTGATTATGAAATACAGTAAGTTCACTATAAATGCTTCCTCTTTTCCATATTTATTTTTGTTTATTGGATGTATCACGAACGATGAAGCACCATTATTTACTGGGTGATAGATATTTCAAACACAACTTATTGCCCATTATAATGATATCAATTATATAAGCACGCAAATTCGAATCTTTCGTTTTTTAGTTTCCTTTATTCCTTCCTTCCTTCCTTTTCGTCGCAACGGTAGTTGACATTTCCAGATATCCGGTCGAAAAGGTGTTGAACTATTCTTGTTAAACGTATTTTCAATGGATTCGATAAATAAAGTTTTAGTTATCAATCTCTCCTTCCACCCTGTTATATTAGGTTCTAATATTTTTTTTTGATTTACAGCTTGATTCCACACTGTATTTTTGGTACAAGTATGGAATTTTCAGCATGGATATCGGTAGCCCAAATTTTGCAGGCCGACCATAGATATCAGGTGTGCGCCGGCGTGGGCTCGAACCCCGGACCATGTGCATGGTCGGCGAGAGTCCTAACCACTGTGCCACCGACGCCATCTTATACCATCCTATTGTATGGTTGTATGTAATTCCATGTAGTGAATGCTATAGTAGAACTGTTCTCCAGATTTTTATTATCTTTTCAGGGTCAATTCATCTGAATTTCGCTAAGTTTTTTGTGCTGCGTTCGTCTGACTGACTGAACCCTGTTCTACTACTTTGACTTACACATTTGACCTGACAATCACTGCAGGCAGACTATTAGATAAACTAAATTGTTTTGCTTATTGAGCGCGCTTTTCGACTATTACGCTACATTTTGGTCATAAATAAAATCTCTTATTACTCTAAAATTTTATGCAAAGTGTTTGCGGAAATTATCACAATTATTAACCTTTCGAACACTGAATCCAAAAAATACAATCTTATTGACAGATAATACACATAACTCACTGTTTGGATTTGTGGAATTTTTAAACATAAACACATCTATAATTGTATATATTGTTGGATTTATATGTTCAAGTTGCTCCAAGTCAGTGAGTTTATGGTTAAGATATCATTTTAGTTAAACGTACTGAACTATATTGCATGTTGTCTTATTGTATAGTTGTCGTCGCTTTTTGCCCTTTTTTCTGTGAACTGTTTCCTTTGTTGATGTTGTTCTCATTGTTTGTCCGTTATTTTCTGATTTTGAGGGGAGCAACCCAAAAAGTTGCTTCTCTCTAAACTTTTACTTAATGTAATCATTCTTTTCTCAGGCGTGAGGCTAGCAACCCCACCCTGTAAACAAAATTGCTACAGAACCTTCAGTAAAATGAACCTCTTTGCACCAAAAGAAAAAGTCTGTGTAGGAACATGGAACGTCCGAACTATGTACGAGACTGGAAAAGCTGCCCAGATCGCCAACGAGATGAAAAGATACGGAATACAAGTGCTGGGAATATGTGAGAGCAGATGGAATGGGAGTGGACTCACCAAATTGTCAACAGGTGAGTCAGTGATCTACTCCGGTCACCCAGAAGATAACCACACGCACACCGAGGGCGTGGCTATCATGATGTCACCAACGGCAACGAAAGCCCTGATACAATGGGAGGCGATTTCGTCCAGGATAATGACCGCCAGGTTCAACTCCAAAGGAAGGAAAGTGTCAATCATACAATGTTATGCACCCACAAACAACGCAGACCTCGAGAAGAAAGAAGAATTCTACAGGCAACTACAGGCAACAATGGACAATACTCCAGCTGGCGACATGAAAATACTAATGGGAGACATGAACGCCAAACTGGGACCAGACAATACGGGAAGGGAACTCATCATGGGTAGAGAAGCTCTAGGAGAAATGAATGAAAACGGAGAACTCTTCGCCGACTTCTGCGCCTTCAACGAACTGGTGATTGGTGGCAGTGTATACAAGCACAAAGATATCCACAAGGCTACATGGGTGTCACCAGACGGGCAAACCAAAAACCAAATCGACTTCATCTCAATCTCAAGGAAGTGGAGGCGCAGCCTACTGGACACAAAAGCAAGAAGAGGAGCAGACGTTGGCTCAGACCACTATCTCGTACAAGGGACAATCCAAATCAAATTAAAAGCTTTCAGGGAATCAGGAGCTGCAGATAGACCACAAGCCAAGTTCAACACTCAAAAGCTGAAGGACCAGGCTACAAAGGACATCTTCATTGCAAGCATAAAGGACAAAGCCGAGACACAAATCAACACTAGCGAAGAGGTCGGCGTTGAAAAGCACTGGAACAACTTGAAAACGGTGTGGAGCCAAACCTGCATAGAAATTCTAGGCAGAAAAAAGAGACAGGACAAACAGTGGCTCACTACGGACACTTGGAAACTAATAGAAGAGAGAAGGACAGTGAAGCAAAAGATTATCCAGTGCACGGACGAGCAACAAAAACAGGAGCTGAATGCAAGCTACAATACACTGAACAAAAGAGTGAAGAAAAGTGCCAGGGAAGACAAAAGAAAATATTATGAAACCATGGCAAACGAAGCAGAACAAGCTGCAGGCAAAGGAGACCTCGCCACACTCTACCAAACAACTAGGAACCTTTCGGGCAAACGTTCGACACAGATTAAGCCAATAAAGGACGACAATGGAAAGTCAATCACCAAAGAGGTGGAACAGAGAAAGCACTGGGTTGAACACTTCAAAAGACTTCTAAATCGTCCGCCACCTACAACACGTCCAGCAATACCAACAACGGAAGCAGAACTACCAGTGAACACTGACCCCCCGACGAAATCAGAAGTCCTGAATGCAATCAAGATGCTTAAAACTGGGAAAACACCGGGACCAGATGGAATCCCAGCAGAGGCTTTGAAAATAGACCCAGAGACAACAGCGGACTTGATGACACCACTACTGGAGAAGGTGTGGAAAGAGGGCAAAGTACCCGAGGATTGGAAGAACAGTTACTTATTCAAACTTCCAAAGAAAGGAGACTTAAGTCAATGTAAAAACTGGCGTGGAATTATGCTTCTGTCCATTCCAAGCAAGATACTAAGTCGCATCATCCTGGAGAGAATCAAACAAGCCCTAGATGAAAAACTTCGTCCGGAACAGGCTGGATTCAGGAGAAACAAATCATGTATTGATCAAATCGCCACTCTACGGATCATCATTGAACAAAGCTTGGAATGGCAGTCACCTCTCTATCTCAACTTCATCGACTTTGAAAAGGCCTTCGACAGCGTCGATCGAGAGGTCATTTGGAAACTACTTCGCTACTACGGGGTCCCATCGACAATTATACACCTCATCCAACAGTTATACGACAATGCTGCATGCCAAGTAATCCACAACGGGAAACTTACGGAAGCCTTCGAAGTGAGGACGGGAGTGAGGCAAGGCTGTCTACTATCACCAATGATCTTCCTGATTGCAATTGATTGGATAATGCGACAGACAACGGCAACCAACGAGGGAACAGGCATAAAATGGACTGACACAAAAGACTTGGAGGATCTGGATTTCGCCGATGATATATGTCTGATTTCCCATAAACTGGAAGATATGCAAATGAAAAGTAACAAGTTGGCAGAAGAAGCATCAAAGATAGGACTTCACGTGAACATAGATAAAACAGAGATGATGAAGATTCCTTGCCAACATCAACAGCAACAACAGACCACAATAAGCATAAATGGGAAGAACCTGAAAGAAACAACCTCCTTCACCTACCTGGGAAGCATCGTCTCAACTACAGGCGGAACTGACGAGGACATCAAAGCCAGAATCGGAAAAGCAAGACAAGCTTTCATTACTCTCAAATCTGTGTGGAGGTCAACAGCATTCAGCATCAAAAATAAGATCCGGATTTTCAACTCCAATGTGAAGTCAGTGCTACTATACGGATCAGAGACTTGGCGAGTCATAAAGAGCATCTCAAACAAACTTCAAACCTTCATTAACAACTGTCTCCGCTCAATACTCAAGATCAGATGGCCAGAAAAGATCAGCAACAGGGATCTCTGGGAGCGAACCAATCAGGAACCGATTGTGAAACAAATAGGCAGAAAGAAATGGAGATGGATTGGCCATACGCTGAGGAAACCATCAAGTGACATCACTAGACAAGCCCTCGAGTGGAACCCGAAAGGGAGGCGGCGAGTTGGTCGTCCAAGGGTGACTTGGAGGAGGTCATGTGAAGAGGAGATGAAAGCATGTGGGCAGACCTGGAGCAGGGTGAAAAAGTTGTCAGAAAACCGAAGTCAATGGAGGTGCGCAGCTGAAGCCCTATGTTCCTCTAGGAACTAAAGGATACAATAATAATAATAATAAATTGTTTGTTAATGGACTTCACAAGATTGATCCTTTAACTGATAAAGCTCGTTTCTAAATGAGTTTGTGGTTGGTTTTGAATCCCAGCGACTTCCACTCTTCCGTTGTTAAAAATTCTATGTATGGTTTCAGACGTCCTTTCTTTGAACAGAAGTACTACTGTGGCAACCACTTCGCTACTACGGGGTACCACCGACAATTATATATCTCATCCAATGCTGCATTCTAAGTAATCAACAACGAGAAATTCACGGAATACTTCTAAGTACAGACGGGAGTAAGACAAGACTGGCTGGCTGCCTACTATCTCCAGTGATTTTCCTGATTGCGGTAGATTGGATAATGCGACAGACAATGGCGGGCAACGAGGAAACAGGCATAAAATGGATCCACACAAAAGGATCACATCATCTCTGAGAAGAACATTCTTTGCAGGAACACTTAGAATAGTGTGCTCCAGTCGCCCACTGATCCGCGAAATCCTCAAGAATAAGATCCCACATCTGACCACTTCTTCGTGCATATATCTATTCGCCTGCTGCTGTGGAGCCATGTACATTGGTCGTTAAACACGCACCCTGTTCAAGAAGATTCGAGAACACTATCCAGCATGGTTGCGAAAAGGCAATAGTGGTGCAATAAGCAGTGAGATAATTGAACGCCTGGTTAACACTGATCATTCCGTTTCAATAAACGCCTCCTTCAAAGTAATCTACAGAGTCAAGAATAGCCTGCCAAAGACAGTGCGGTTTCGTCTCTTTTGTATCGCTGAAGCTCTGGACATTCACATGGATGAACCGGAGCTGTGCATACAAAAAAGGACTACTCAACTACTCCTACTGTCATGGTAACACATTTTTTGATTTTTGATGACTTAATTTTGTTTCTTTGCCTGTTCTTTAATTACTTATAATTCTTGCATTCATTCAGAACTCTTACGTAGTTTCGTATTCTCTACTTTATTTCTTTATGCATCCTGAGTGAAACTCACTCATCAAACTATTCATATTATTATTACATAACTTCTTTTAACAACTGTTTGTGACAACTCATCACCTTTGTTACTATCCTGGTTTCATTAACACTTAATTATCTTGACTTGTATTACCAACCTTCACCTGTTTAGTTAAAAGTAACCTTTACCAATTGTAATTTTGTTTGACAAACTTAATGTACACATACATACAAAGTAACACATATATATTTGCGATTGTACAGCTAAGGTGGAAAATGAATTCGCCGTCGAAAAGAGACTCTTTTCTGATCTACGTGTTTTGTTTTCATTAATGACTGGATGGGGATTATCCATCAATAGTCATTTTCTCAAAATTATTGCTTCATCCCAATTTCTGGCCCTTATTCTCGATTTTTAAATAGTCATTCGCTTCTAGATTACATCTTAAATCATGCAACATGTTTTCGAGGACAAATTTTACTGGTATCTTATTGGTCTTATGAGTTATTTTTTATTCCTTTGCGTTCCCTTGTGGAACACTGGGGTCCAAGCTAGAGGCCAGGCCTTAAGTTTCGGTAGCAGAGGGTTTATTATTTCTACGGGATGGGGTTGATAGTCTCATGTCCAACCCTCCGTCTTTACCAGTCTTTTTACTGACTTAGTGAGGTATGGGAGTGCGTCTGTGGCCGGGGATCGAACCCGTGACCACATGAGGCATGGTGGGCGAACATTCTATTTCTGTGTCACGGACGGTGCTTACAGATTATGAAAATGAATCGTGAGAAAGAACAAGTTCTCTTCTGTTCACGCCTTTTTCTTATGACTCACTATAGGAATATTCTGTGAAACTTGAATGAATAACAACAGATACCTGTTGCACAAGATGTGGCTGTCATAGCCCGCTGGTCTAGTGGATAGCACTTTGACATTTGAAGTCATCGGTGCTGGTCTCAAGTCTCAGTCTGAACACTGTCACTCTTTGGGAGTTGAAGATAAATCCAAATAGACGAAATATTCCTGCTCCTGACTGAAGTGTTAATCGCCATTGATTAAATGGCATTAATTTTAGTACAAGAGATATCTTCGAATTATGATTACTGTGAGCGAAATATCAGTGGAGACAGAGTAGTTAACTGAATTGTAGATTTTTCCGTCGATTGATTGAAATGAAGTGCTCGGCCTCAGGTTGACATGTCGACTTTTATGCATGGCATGTAATTATATTTTAATTGGTGGATGGTGACTAGCTTGGGGATCGAGGATGCACATTTCGTCCTATTTGGGACTCGTCATCTGGATGTACCTGCATTTACCAGTGAGTGATGATGTTTCCAGCGATCCTCGAACCCATTGCCGTAGTTTTAAACTCCGAAACGTTACCCCTTAGACCACTTGGGCTACGAGAGCTGCCTCTTGTGCAACGGGTCATATTAATTATTGAATTGAATTTTTGATTTTCCCGTCGATTGAACCGAAATGCTCAAGTCTTCTAGTGGATAATGCTTTGGAGTTTGAAACTGTGGGCACTGGGTTCGAGCCTCGTTGGGAACATCATCACTGACTGGGAAATGCAGGTATACCAGTGCCCATCCTGGATTCCAATGCTAGTCACAATCCTCCTATTAGAGACAGAGTATTGCCAACTTAAATAAATCATGCAAGTGGCGAATTTACTGAATTCACCAACCAAAGAATAACAATCACATAGAGTATATTGATCAGAAATCCTGACATAATCAAAGGCTAGTAGAAAATTACAGAAAAATCACTTCGCTGAAATATTTATTGATAAGGCAGAAGAATGAATCGAGTTAAACAGTTAATGTGAAGAGGCTGACGGCATAATGTGAAGGCATACAAAAATAGTCTATTAGATGGAGGGGATTTTGACATTCTGAATAACGTAGGCATGTCAGAAACGGGAAACTAGGAATTATTTTTTATATTAGCCCGAAAATGACACGCCGAATAGAAGTCACGGTCAATACGAAGACACAGAGGACGAGGGGTAGGAGGAGAGGAGAAAATGACACACAATGAATGTGATGTAACCTAATGTCAGACAGGACAATAAAATTGATACATTTGTGAACGAAAGACAACCATATCGATGTATATATATAAATATATTTCTCTAAAATTGTACAGATTCCCTTACAGTGTGTTGTAGCACTTTTGAAAAAAACGCCATGATTATTTATCTGTACTACAACAACTACTACTATTACTTAGAATGACTATTTTTCATTCAGACAAGTGCGTTCGCTGCGTATTTCTATTTCTAGGCATTATCCGTTGCTGGATAGTTGGTTATTTACAAGGAGGTCAGCTGGAGTTTATCCCTAACCAGTCGATTCCTCCTGCATTCCTTTCGCGTTTTGAGTGAAGAACAAATTGATTCTAGCATTTCTGAAGTTTTTGACGGCTATGGTGCTGTTTTCTTTCACGACGTAGGTGTACAAGGTTCACGCCAAACCTCTTCTATTCTTCAGGTGTATTATCGGCTAGTTCAATAAGCGAGGATATGGAGTGCGCTGGCTGGAGATCGAACATTAATTTTCCACCTATATATAGTGAGTATAGTACCGCTGAACCGGCAATAAAGACACCAATATATTCCTAGTATCCAACCCGAATTTACATTAACTTTCTGAACAACAGGAATGAAGAGAATTTGGAGAATGTTCTGGACTCGTTTGACAGGTGTCATCCTGCAATCCGTTTCGCATTAGACAGGAAGTCTGACAGAGGAATATTCTTTCTGGACGTTCAGTTAACAAGATGTGAACAATCATGAAAAAGATCAATCCACAGAAAACGGACAAGCCATCAGCTTTAACAGTTGGGTGCCTCTATATGTATGTAAAACGAAACTTGGTCTGTTCACTCAGCCACAGAATCCGTGGTATTATCCGTCCTGACACTATGAAAGAGAAGCTGGACACTGTGAATAGAAACCTCCTTGAAAATGACTACCAAGGGTGTCTCATCACAAATTCCATGAACCCTAACCCACTAAAAACCACTAATCCACACTTTCTGCTCTTAAATAACGTCTCCATCTGAGTCTGCAATTCAATGGAGACTAATCGTTCAAATGTGAAGCATAAGCCACCAGTGTCGACTGGCCTTATCACTCTGTATCTATCAATT